GCCTACTGATAGAATGGAGACTCTAGTCATAAAGCTGGGGAAACAGCATTGAACCAAACGAAACCCTCTGAATGTGGGTACCAGCTAGGTGCCCAAGACAGTGTATGGCTCCTCTGACAGACTACGGGACTTCTAACAGTGGAGCCAGTCTTTATCCCTAGAGCACAAACGGACTTTGGGAGCCCATTCCCTATGGAGGGATACTATTGCAGCCCAGATACAGCACCTAGGCCTTCCCCTAAACAATATGACAGACTTTGAAGGTCCCTGATGGAGGACTTCACTATCCCTGGGGAGGAGTTGGGGTGTGGGTTGGGGTGGGTTGGGTGGGGAACATGGGAGGAGGGAAGGGCGAGAGAATGGGGGGATGGATATGTAAATATGAGTAACTAAAACTAATTTAAAAAGTAATTGAAAAAAAGAAAAAAGATGGACTGAGTATTGGTGGTACATGCCTTTAATCACAGCACTCGGGAGGCAGAGGCAAGTGGATCTCTGTGAGTTCAAGGCCAGCCTGGTCTCTAGAGCGAGTGCCAGGATAGGCTCCAAAGCTACACAGAGAAACCCTGTCTCAAAAAAACAAAAACAAAAACAAAAGATGGAATGGTGGCTCAAACCTGCTCATCAATGAAGGAAAGATCCTCTATAGCTGTAACACTCTCCTCCATTTCATCACAACAAATGCCCTGTGATTTCCACAGGACAGACCTTACTTTACAAGCTGTGTTCCTCACTCAGTGGGTCTCTCCTGTTACAGGGACGAGGAAAATGCCTTGAGTGAAGCTCTTGGTGACACCATAGTGTAATAGTAATGCAGACGATGAATATGATCTCCAAAGTGACCTTGAGGTGCAGAAAAGGTTTTTGGATGTTTATCCTCAGGTGAAATTGGAGCTTAAGCAGCACATCAGGAAGCTCCACGCCCTTGCAGACAAGGTTGATAAGGTGCACAGGGACTACACCATCACACAAGTGGTGGCCAGCTCCACCAGTTCTGTGTCTGGAAAAGGGATCCCATCATAGAAGGAGACATTATAGGTTTAAAGAGAATTCTGGCACTAGGGAAATATCTAGAGACCCACAAAGTTGACCCCAACTAACAATTTATGCGATAGTCGAGGGGCTGCCTTAAAAACCATTCTCCAATAATGAGATAAATGACTACCTTATATGCCATCCTAGTGCCTCCATCCAGTAGCTGATGGAAGCAGAAGCAGACACCCACAGCTAAACACTGAGCTGAACTCTGGAATCCAGTTGCAGAGAGGGAGGAGTGATGAGCAAAAGGGTCAAGACCAGGCTGAAGAAACCCACAGAAACAGCTGACCTGAACAAGGGGGAGCTCATGGACCCCAGACTGATAACTGGGAAACCAGCAAGGATTGTCCCAGACCTCCTGAAGGAGGAAGTCAGTTTGGAGGTCAGGACAATCTTGGGGCCACTGGTAGTGGATCAGTATTTACCCCTAGTACACAAATGAAATTTGGGAGCCCTCTCCACATAGAGGGAAACTCTCTCTTCACCCTCCCTGGGGAGCAGGAAGGGGTTGGGATAGGGGAATAGGTGGAGGGCAGGAGAAGAGGGGAGGGAGAGGGAACTGAGATTGGCATGTAAAAGAAGCTCGTTTCTAATTTAAATAAATTTTTAAAAATTAAATAATAATAATAATAATAATAAAAGAGCAGTTTGTTTCCCCCCAAAATAATAATTCTATATGGAAAGTGCTATTATTAATTCATTTTGCAAATTAGGAAAATGAAAGAAACTACTTAAGTAGTTTGATTAAGGAAATATGGGGGGAAAATGGAGGCCAATTAAGCCAGGAAGTCAAGCTCCAAAATTAGCTCTCTTCCAAAAAAATGGAAAAGCATCCTCAAAAGAAATAGATAAGAGTGGGAAGATCCTTTGGGTCTACCAGGGACCACTTCTTCTTTGTACATAAGAGAACTGAGGCACTGAAACAAAGGGATTTCCTCAATGCCACACACTAAGCAAGTATACAGCTAACAGAGCCAAAACCAGCATCCTAATCTGCTGGCTCCCACCTCAGGGTCCTTTTCACTACTGCTGCATAACTCATGTTGTGTCTCTGCTGAACTGCCTTCCCCATCACCATATGCAGTTGACAACGCCAGCTCTGTCATTCCCACAGCCTGTCTGACAAGATTGTGGACAGGCAGCCATCTCTGTTGTATGAGTCATTATCTTCCCTTTCCAAAATATAAATGAGACTAGAGCTGGCTTCACCCAAGCATTTTCCAAATGATTAGATCCCTAAATCCCAGTATCACCTCTGTGGGGGTTACCAATAGAATGCAAAACCAACATTTTCCATCCATAAAGACATCAACACCCAACCACGCCAAGGCCTCGACCTTCTGAGAAGATGAGTGTTCAATGATGTATGAGGCCCGCCTCCTGCTCAGACAGATCCATGGACTCAAATCGGAACTTTTTAAGGGTCATTCAGGGAAACCAATACTAAGCCCAGCTGGAAAAATTCTGCCTGATTCATTAAGAAGTCATGAGAAAAGCTTGTGAAAGTGGATAGTAAGGCTAGGTGGTGGGCTATGGAGGGAGTTGGGTAGCTTAGTTTATAATGTCACTCACGTCTGATAGCCAGGAATCAGGAGGTGGGCAGCCAAGGTCCTCCAAATGTCTAGGCTACTCTTCTATCGGTATTTATGGTTTTATGCCTCAAAACATTGGATTTCACAAAGCCATGTCCCCACTCCACACCTCACTTCACCCGTCCAGCGGATGTGGGAAACGAAAGACTCTACTAGAGATGAGACATTTTAAAGGCCTCTTGTGGGACTGAGGCTTTAACCCACATGAGACACTCTGTCCATTACCCAATCCCTTTATTATGGGCCTTAGACCTGGAGACTGCTGAGGCATGAAAGACCTACCTCATCATGAGGATGGGAGATAGAAGTTCCAGATCTTGGCAAGGCAGAACAGTGCGGGAGAACCTTTCCTAGACAGGATTGAAGGACAGTACCAAAAGGCTAGTTGTTGTCACAGGGCAGTGTCAGTGTCCCCTTTTATATGATGTTCAGACTTTCCACTGCATAAGGTTGGCACAAAACCTTCCTGTGAAATGGGAATGAGTCTACCACAAGATCCAGCAATTCCACTCCTAGGCATATACCCAAAAGAAGCACATTCATATAACAAGGACATCTGTTCAACCATGTTCATAGCAGCATTATTTGTAATAGCCAGAAATTGGAAGCAGCCTAGATGCCCCTCAACCGAAGAATGGACAGAGAAAATGTGGTACATTTACACAATGGAGTACTACTCAGCAGAAAAAAACAATGGAATCTTGAAATTTGCAGGAAAATGGATGGAACTTGAAGAAACCATTCTGAGCGAGGTAAACCAATCACAAAAAGACAAACATGATATGTACTCACTCATATGTGGTCCTGCTTTACGATACATAGTAGTGACCATGCTTTATCAGAGCTGTTTTTAATGATGTTG